CGTGCTTTATGGACTGAGCCAGCTCCCTTGGATAGTTTACTCTTACAATTAGCTAATATTTGCTGTCTCATTTTTTAAGAAGTACCCTAATAATATATATATATATAAAGAGTCAAAGCAAGGCTTCAGGAACTAGGGCCTCACTAAATTTGTTTCCCATGCCCAGAGCAAATCCAATGTCTCCTCGTCCTAATGAGACTTAGTCATAGTCCTATGAGAATATAGAACATAGCTCTATATTTTAAATTAAAAAACAAAACATAAACAACTTGGTGGAGTTGGACCCCCAGCTCCATCACATGATAGCTTTGTGTCTTTGGGTAAGTCTCTTGATCCCTGTTTCCTCCCTCCTCTGTAAGACAGAAACAATATCTCCTCAAAAGGTTATGCTCATCTTCTTTTCAGTATATACTCTTTAAAAAAGAACACATTTAAATTCTAGTCTTCAGTACAAAACTCTGACTTACTTTGTGACTTTAAACAATTCTAAGCTAACCTTTTGAATGTTACTTTTATAAAAAGCAAGCCCCTCCTTAAAATTCAGGGGTATCATGAAGGCATGCATTTCTATCTTAAGTACTTTGGAATAAAATTGGAAGTTGCTATAAGGAGACAGCATATTTATTTGGGGCGTTTGTTGTGTTATTGTGGCTATAAAGTCAAAGTACCAAATATGTAATGCTTACTGTTAGTGCTGGCAAAATCCCCTCTCACGAGTTCCATTATATTCCCTGTCAATGAACTAGAGTCCTTATTGTTCTTCTGATAATCAAATAATGAATTTTTGAGCTTATTTATTCTGTTTGTAAAATCTTGATTGACTTCATCAATTAACCCTTTCATCCTGCAGCCAGAAGGGCATCTGTAGTTCTGCAAGTGAAGAGGAAAAATTATATTAAGGGTCTATATTTTGGATCCAGTACAATTTTGAAGGTTTCCATGCAGCTGCCCTTGCCCCTCCCTCCCCCAATATGCTCACATCATCTATTGACTTAAAAGTAGTTTGAGAGGACTAGTCAGAGGTCATAGAGAAATTCTGGAATGAGGGTACACTTAATCATAAATTAGGCCCCACAAAATCTTGAGGCCATAATACTTAGGTTCCTGGGATTTGTCTGAACATGCAACTAAAATCCAAACTGTTAATCCTATTAATGACCCAGAGTTTGGGAGGTAATTCAAATAGTGCACGCAGGGTGAGGTTGTTTTCCATTTGTCTTCTTGAATTTGGCACGTAATGAGTTATTAGATTATTTCCCAGCTGAAAAGTTCTCTGTGACCTACTGGGTCAGCCTGTGCACAATTCTAGCACCACAGGGAAGGATTCTCCCACTCTCTCTGCCCACCACTCACCCAGTCTTCATCAGCGCAGAAGGGCCAGTCTGTCTCCTTGCAGGCAGATTGCTGTCTCTCCACGAGTCTTGGGCCACGCACACCTCCTCCTTCAGCTATAAATTCATCCTCCTTGATAACTGTGGTCTTTACAGATTCATTCGAACACACAAAAGAGAACAACATTAGGCAGATAAGAAGACCCTGGCATGCCTGCAAACCCAAGGGAAGGGGGGGCGCTCTCCCAGAGATTAAGAGCACCTGCTTTGGGGCCTCTGCAAGCTTTCTGACTTTTTGATTGAAAATTCTAATACCTATTTCATGGAGTTGTACGAATTAAAGGAGATAGGGTAAACACATTTTTTAACACTGTTGGATGTGAAACAAGCATTTGATAAATGCTAGGAGTTTTAAATATGGAAAATTTATTATGTACGGAAAATTATTTGAATCAACAAAATTAGTTAAAATTTACCTTTTCATTTTCAGTAATGTCTGGAGATAGAAAGGTAATTGAAAAGTTCAGAGTTCTTTCCCTTATAATTTCTGTTTCAGTAGGAAAAAACTTACGCTATCTTAGCTTAATTTCTCTCTCCTTGGATTCGTAATTTGAGCAGGTACATACCAAGGGCACAAATGTGGCCAGATCGGACTGGGAAATCCTTTTTAGGTTACCCACTCACGTAATAATTTCCTTTTATTTGCAATGCAAAAGAGTAGACTGAAAGCAAAATAATGGTCCATGACTGACTGACTGACAACTTTTTTTGAACACCTTTCTAATTAGAAATACAGATTTTTAGAAGAATTTCTATCGTGACCTGTGACGTGAAATAGGACATAGAAATATTCTTCCAGCAAGACTTTATAGCCTCATAAATCAAAATGGATTTTAAGTTTTAGCTATTTTTATTTTGTACTACTAACTTACAAAGATTTTGCTATGATTATTTTAATCTCAGATAGTTTAGTCTTTTTTTTTTTTTTTTTTTTAGTAATCTCTATGCCCAATGTGGGGCTCAAACTCACGACCCTGAGATCAAGATTCACGTGCTTTATGGACTGAGCCAGCTCCCTTGGATAGTTTACTCTTACAATTAGCTAATATTTGCTGTCTCATTTTTTAAGAAGTACCCTAATAATAAGTATTATTATTCAAGCAATCAAGGACAGTTTATTTAAAAGAACAAGTACAATCTCTTTAAGAAATAAAATTATAAATTCAAACATACTTCAGAATAAAATGGCACAACAATAAAAACAGGCAGAAGTTAAATATTTTGCCAATAAGGGAGAGATAACTGAAAACTTATGCATTATCCAAAATATCGTTAGCAAATGATGTTAGTCTTATTTTCCAAAAAATTTTTTTAATTATTAGTTTACTATAAGGAAGAAAATTAAGTTAGAAACCCTCTTTAGTTTTTTTGCTCTGGTAGTAGGTTTTATGAGTGGTGAAGGGAAAGAAATAAATTGGAATAATTCATAGCCTAGAAGTAACTGAGTTTCTTAAACATATTTGTCATGTTTTTATAAGATCTAAGAGTTTCAAAGGCCTGTTGAATTAAGTTCCTCTTCTTTTGTATAGGTCTCTGGAGTCAAACTTCAGAAATCATTGCGATATTCAGTAATTATTTTAAAAGATTGCTTCCCCAAAAGAATATTGTCTTCTCAATTAATCTCTCCTAACTATGTAATATGAAATAAAATATCCTATGTAATATGTTTTAAAACAACTAATTTGCTTTTCTTGGGAAAAAAAAAACACACAAAAACAACCCTTTAGGAAAACTACATTAAACCACTGTTCTGTGTATTATGGACAACCAGCAATAAATTAATGATTAGATTTTTAAAATTCTTTTTTTTTTTATTTTATACCCTAGATTTTTAAAATTCTTAGCAAGAGAATGCTTTGTTCTGTTAACTAGCATGAACTATCCCTAGGCTTTATTGGAACAAAGAGGGCAAAGATTTCATCCCATAAAACAAATAAACAAACGATGTTGTAAGGCTGAATTACAGACACGGAAGCTTCCCCTGTGAATTTCTATACTTTAGTCCAGCTGAGTCTCCCTCTTACTCTTGAGGTGTCAGGCTCATCTAAGAACTTGCCTCCATGGCGTAGAGCCTATAAAGCTCGCAGTGTGTGAGGACGTAGATAAGACTCTCAGACCTGCAAGCTCTTTGCAGAATAAACACCAGAGAGAAAGCAAGAAGAGAAAATAAAGGCGACCATACCCAGACTGTGCCCACCACACTCGTGACCAGGCAAAAGATCTTCACAGAAAACATCTTTTCTCAGGGTGGAGCTGGCTCTTGAGGAGCACCCCAGTGGAAAGAGAGGAAGACTGCCTCCGCTCCTAGTGCCCATCCCATTTAAATCTGCAAGTAGGTTTGATTAATCATTTTCTTTGTCCTGTTTATACAGTCAATATGCATTCTACAACCCTTGCTTCTTCTGTAAGGTTGGTGTCCCAGAAGTTCTTGCTCAATTCCCCCAAGCTTGTGTGCTTTTGATAAGCTGTTGCAAAGGTAGCAGCAATTCCAGGACGATCTCACATTCCAGGAACAGGATGACTTTAGAAAGGCAAAAGGAAACATAGGTAGACAGACCTCTGCTTGAGTACTTGAGACAACATGGAGAGGGGCTGAGGCAGGCTAGAAGCAGCCCACTGCAAACAGATCTGGCAAATGATAATTCACTTCATGTAGGAATTATGGTTGGATGATCGGACTTTTAAGAAATGACTGTGGTGGGGGTGCCTGGATGGCTCAGTAGGTTGAGCAGTGGACTCTTGATTTTGGCTCAAGTAGTGGTCTCAGGGTCCTGGGATCGAGCCCTGCTTCCGGCTCCCGGCTGAGTGGAAAGAGTCTGCTTCTCCCTCTCTCTCTGCCCGCCGCCCCCCCACTCTCCCGCTCTCTTTCTTATATAAATAAATAAATAAACTCTTAAATATAGAAATAATTCTTTAAAAAATTGATTGTAGTGATAGGCTGACCCTGAAATCCTTCTATACGTTACCTTGAACAAATTCTTTTCCTCTATCCAAAATAGTTAAGACGGTAGCCCCTGGAGCCAAGCATCTTAGGTTCATAATCTTAGGTACACCATTTCCCAACTCTGTGCTTTTGACAAACTACATGTTTTTATGAAGAATAAATGAGTTAATCCTTGTAAAGCCTTCAGAGTGGTGATTCCCACATAGTAAGTACTCAGTGAGTGTTAACAATTATTGGAGAACATAAAGTGCCATGAAAAATATCATTTCTTTCCTGTGTCTATGCCTTTGGACATGCCAGTTTACTTTCCCTGCTCTTCATCTTCATATGAAAATTTTCCTTGGCCAGATCTAGCAAACAAAAAACCAGGATGCCCAGTTAAATTTGAATTTCAGATAAACAATAAATACATTTTAATGTAAGTATGTCCCATGCAATATTTGGGACATACTTATACTAAAAATTTTTGTTTATCTGAAATGCATATTTAAGTGGGCATCTTATAATTTACCTGACAAACCTACCTTGCCTTAAATTCTGATTCCTATGTGAAGTCTATTCTGATAATAGTAATACCTAATATTTATTGAGTGTTTGCTAAGTGCCAGGCACTTTGCTAGACACTTTACATCATACCTGATTCCATCTCTCCAATTAAAAGCCATCTCTTGTTCTTCCATACTCCTTTAGACCATGTACCACTCATGACATTTATCATTGTAGGAGTATTGTCCATTTCCTTCACTAGATCACAAACTGGAGAACTGACACATTTTATTGGTCTTTATGTGGTCCCAAATGGCATGGGCTCTCACTCAGCAAGAAAACATGGGTGTAAATTTGTAAAGTTGACCTGCTGCCTCCTCAGGCATTGTAGGCATGTGAAGCTTGCTATAAATGGATGAAAGCCTGGGTACAAGGCAGCACCCTCCTTCACTACTTGCTCTCTGGAAAGTTCTTTGATCAAGCTCACTCCTGATGTTGCTTTCTTGGACTTCTAGAGGCAGCTGCAAAACTCAGAGGGAACCCTAGAATCCATCCAGGTTCTGGAAGGCCGTGATTCCATGGAGAGTTGAGTTATACTCAGTCGACAGTGACTAAACTGGCAAAATGCCAGGCATGGTTAGAAACTTGAGGCTTGACCTCTTCAGATGATTTTGTTTGCTCACAGGAAGTGTTCCTCTTGGGAAGTGAACACAGTGTATGGAAGATGTTTCTAGAGAGTAATCTAGGGGGCTTCAGGTGATTCAGTTGAACATAATCTAATTGAAAGTAAGTTAACGGAAAACAGTTTGAACAGAAAACATGCCTTTGCCTGAATGCCTCAGCTCTGGTACCACAACAAGGCATTTCCAAGGAACCACTTTTAGCCGTTAGCCCTGCCGTTCCATGGTTCCCTCAAGAATCTGCACATCCAAGGCTTTTCTCAGATGGTATCTCCTCAGAGAGGCCTTCTTTGGCCAGCGTACCTACAGAGCAGTCATATCATGAACCCAGTTTTGTTTTTCTTCCTATTTTATCACTACAAGATAATGTATATTTGGAAAGTTATTTGTTTATGTCCCCCTACACTGAGCTTCATAAGGCCAAGGCGCACTGCCTTGTACAAGATCAGGCATAGAGTAAACACTAGTAAGGGTTTGTTGGAAGAAGGAAAGGCTGTCACAGTGACAACACAGCATGGTGGAAGAATAATGGCCTTGGCAGAAAGTGAGATCTGGCTTCTAGCCAAGTCACATGGGTTTAGTCAAACTCAGTTCTCTGAATTTACTTATCTGTCAGATGGGGATGGCAATATTTATCTTGCAGGGTTCTTGTGAGGATTATATAATATGGCCTATACAGCATGTTGGATATACACATGAGGAGACCCAGAAATGGTCGCTTTTATTGTTCCTGGAACATCTCAGTGCCACAAAATTGAAAGTTCCCATATTACCTCTCCAGTGCCAGAATTCCATAACCAGACACTTTTGTGGGGCATTCTTTTGGCCCGGCACTGCAGGACCGAGCACCCACGAGGCTGAGCCCTCCACCCCATGAACAAGCTGTATTATAACCTATGGAGAAGCAGGTTTTGTTTAGCCAGGAAGCCATGCAGATGAACAGGTGACAAATAATACAAGGAGTATTATCTTTTTAAAGCATGTGACAATGAGGGTATTTTGACAAATATAAAAATGGGGGGAAAAGTCTGAGAAACTTCCAGTTTCTTAAACCACAACCTCTGTAGAGTATTGTATTTTTCCCAGAGATGACCAAATCCTAATTTTTTTTTTAGCTCTAATGAGAGGGATGTTTCATTTATTTGTCCTTTTGAAATTAATAAAATATTCCACAAATTAAAATTATCTAATTGTAGGGATTCCTATATTTGCTATGCCGTAATATCTGGCAGGACTGAAATGGTATATAATGTATCTAAAAAGAATAGAAATTCTATAGCTGTAATTATGCAAGATGTTTCTGAAAAATATTCACTATGTCTTCTAGCAAAGATCTATATGAATCTGTAATTTTATTATTGTCCTAATAACAAGAAGATAAGAGTGCTTTGACAGGACATATTTTATCAAAACAGTATTAAACGCACAGTTAGAAAGTACTAAAATTAATTTCTAAAATTTGAAATGCCTGAATTATGAAAATTTAGGCAATTCTGGTACTTCTGGTCTCTTTCAGGGCCTCTGCCTCAGGTTTTCAGCAGAGACTAATCTATAAAGGATTCACTGGAAAACAATGGCAAGGCTATTTAGCTTTGTGTATCTGATTTTCTCTATTGGTCTCCTGCATTTCAAGGGTGTTCCAAAGTTGGTTTTTAACCAAGCTGTTTACTGTGAAAGGTGAATGAGTTGCTGAAGATGTATGTAAGAGTAACTAATAGGACTTTTACTTTCAGAACTCATCAGTACCCTGATGATTCCAGATGGTTTCCCTGGAAGTTATAGCTCCAGAGAAAAGATGGGAATTTCCTTAAACATACAGAAATGATTCTGAACTGGATTTACAAAACTGAGAAGGGGAAAAAAAAGCTTTTCTTGATCTTGTTTGCTTCTGTCACACTGCATTTCTCTTTAATCTACCTATGCAGGAAAGAAATCTACTTTGTTATAATTGAACGGTCTCCAAATTAATAGCCATTTAATGGAATCATTTTTTAGTAATTTTAAAATCAAATTCTATAATATTCCAATAATACATTGATAGTTCTCTCTCTCTCTCTGTCCTGATGCATTATTTTCATGGTCTTCTGCTTAAGCAATTTTTTCCTTTTTTTAAAAGTAGGCTCCGTGCCCAACATGGGGCTTGAATTCACAACCCTGAGATCAAGAGTTGGATGCTCTACCAACTGAGCCAGCCAGGCGCCTCCACTTCTGCACTTTTAATCAAGTTCCCACTAAGTAGTTCTGAGTATATGTGTATGTGTGAGAGAAACAGAGAGAGGGAGGAAGAAAGAGAGAGGGAGGAAGGGAGGGGGGAGGGAGAGGGAGAAAAATGGGTGAAGGTGAGGTCCTTGAGTTTTTCCCATTGCTTTACTTCTTGTCATTTTTTTAACTGTGTCATCAATTAAATAATTCATTTTCAAGATAAATTAACTTTTCTTTTTTTTCTTTTAAAGATTTTATTTATTTATTTGAGAGAGAGAGAATGAGAGCCAGAGAGCACGAGAGGGAAGAGGGTCAGAGGGTCCGAGGGAGAAGCAGACCCCCCGCTGAGCAGGGAGCCCGATGCGGGACTCGATCCCGCGACTCCAGGATCATGACCTGAGCCGAAGGCAGTCGCTTAACCAACTGAGCCACCACTTTACTTATAATGTGCTTTACTAAATTTATCAAATTGTTTGTTTTGAACATGCATTAAAGTATAAATGTTATTTTTGAAAAGTAAAACCATTGTACAGATGAATAATCACTTCATGTGTTAGTATCAACAACATGGATTCATTCTAACATCATATACCTTAACATCATATACCATCCATTAAATCTGGCACACTTCTCTGCTGGTTTCACTGTGGTTCTATTAAAGATTATCAAACAAGATATATCAGTTGGTATTTAATTTAATAATGATATATTAAGATCTGGGGATTTTAATTTATTAAGATTTAATAATGATATATTAAGATTTGGGGAAATAGCATTTTTTAAGTACCTTAGACTTTCCACAGCAAGAAATTTATTAAAAGTATGAGTAAATTTAATAATCAAAATGAATTTAATTCTTTGTGATTTTTATTGGAACTTTTTTTTTTAAGATTTATTTTTTTTGAGAGAGGGAGAGACAGCTGGTGCAAGTGAGGGAGGGGCAGAGGGAGAGAATCTCAAGCAGACTCCCCCTCCCCAT